TGGTTTGCAACATCTGTTTAAGGGTCTGTATCTACTCGATCAAGGCTTGAAATTGTTTTATAGTTAGGCTTGTCTGTGGTGAGAAAGGTCATTCTAAATGTTGGCCATTGTGTATTTTTGTTCTAATCGGGACGACTTTCTCTTCTTCCTTTAGGGTTCTCTTCCTTGGTAGCATTACTTCGTGCTCGACTAGTGAATGAAAAGGGCCTCTACCTAGCGCCAAATGTTTGTGTCAAGCTCCGTTCTCTGGGTCAGATCCTAAAAAGATATAAATGAATGAGGTTAGAGGCAAAGGCAATGGGTGTTCAATGCGTTTGCACTCCGACACACAAATCAGAAGAGATGAGATTGGAATGAGAGTAATAAAGAGAAATATGAGTAGTCAGGACTTATCTTGATGGTGTTTAGACTTTCATATTTATAAGTAAGCAATGGGGGATTATTGGGGGACAACAAGGACAGTATCAAGCTGATGTGGCATTGATTGTATCAGATCAATCTAACATATTAAGTCGACATAAATAACAAAATTATCATTGGTTGTCTGCTGAAAGCTTTTGACATAAAAAAAGATCACTATATCCTTTTGACCACCAAATACCCCTAACAGCTCATTTATATTTTTCTATGATAAAGGAGTTAAAAAAGTGTAATGTAGAGTTAGAGCAAATCAAAATCGTAGAGAGGATATACATTGATGAACAATCATGAATTGAACAATGTCCATATGGCATGAGAATAAAACTAATGGTTTGTGACATTCTCTCCTTTATGAAATTTGAGGCAACAGGCAATCTACAACAAATTTACTGATAAGAATAAGTTGAGCTTTAATGCCATAGCTGGTGTTTGGTGAAATAGGATTTGAGCAAGCACGGTGGACCAAAATGTTCGATCACACCTCTCATTTTCATTTTTCAGCTTACAACTTTAAGCCAAACACTACCAATGATTCCAACAAGCCATTGAAAGATTACTTCCCATTCCCAACTTAGCACCTAACAATCCATGGTGGAAAGTAGCAGTCTTCGTTTTCAACACTCCAAAGCTCAACAGATAGCAACAGGGCTTTCATTTTTCATTTAAGTTTCCAGCATCACTTTGCTTCTAATCAATTGAGACCCTGTTTAAAAAAGTCTTCAAACACTACAAGCCTCTTTTTCAGAAACCATAAGATAATTTTTTTTGCCAAAAAATTCTATAGAATAATATTTAAAGCTCAAATCTAAAACTAATTTAAATTTTGTTAATTTAAAGTTTCATTACAAAATTATCTATCTATGGTCTAATTGATCAAATGAGATCAAATGATATTTGATAGCTAAAAATAAAATGGTCAAGGAACAGTGAATATAGCTTTTTCTTTCTTTACTTTATTCCATAAAAATATCTATACAAAGAAAAAGTGATATAAATAATTGAGTTTAAATTTTTACGTATTATTTGGTGTATATTTTTGTTTTGCGTTATTTGCGTTTTAATTTCTTTTTTTCTTTGTATTATCTTTTGAAAAAAAAAATAAAACCTAAAGCATTACATAGGTTAACAATTACTATATAACCTTTAATAATATGATAAAATTATGATTCAGTTAAAAACTTGGTTTAAATAATTTGTTAAACAAAATATCAAAGTGACCAAAAAAATTAATTAGAAAATTCATTTGAAGATAGTTGCTAATGTTTATAAATACATAAAATAACATTCAAATTGCATTATTCTTCTTAAGGTAGTTAAGATAAATATATATATATAGCTTGTATTATAAAAACTAAAAAGATCTTTGACTAAATCACTAAAATATGGTTGAGGTGAATGCACTAACCTTCCTAGTGCTCTTAATTTCACATTGAAAAATTAAATGAATTTATTATAAGGTATATATTGAGACTTAAATCTATATTTGTAAAGTAAAATAATTTTTATAAAATAACTTTATAAAACTTTTAAATCAAAACGATAATTTCTTATAAATTTAGTATGAATTTTTACAGTAAACTTACTATTTCATCTCAATTTTTCATATTTTCATGATGTTTTGAAATATATTCTAAAATCAAAGTTAGCTATGGAGTTTGAGATTATTACTTTCAAGAAAAGAAATATGCTATGCTTTTTTATTACTCTTTCTGTCCCTTTTTTTTTTTAATATTTCAAAATTATGTCATTTTTTATTTTTTAAACATCTAAAATTTTTACTTTTTATATTTTAAAATTACTTTTATGATTTTTTTTATATTAAAAGTTAGGAAACTTTAATTTTAAAAAAATTAAATATATTAAAATTAAATTTTGTTCTTAAATTTTGTAAAAGATAATATCTTTCAAATAATTTGAGACGGAAAGAATATCCTTTATTCCTGTCAAAATAAGAAAAAAGGGCGAGAATGGAATCTTGGATGATGTTCCCTACAATTTCTCACAAGAGAATGAACAATTTCTAGGCGAAGCTTCTTCGATTTTGTATTGCAATTTTCAACTAAACTGTAAAGGCAAACCAAAAATAATAATAATAATAATTTCACTTGTGATGTGCGCCTACGTGTAAAATCCCAATGGATGTATCTAGGGGTGTAAATGATACATTAGTACTCGCAAGCTACTCGGGTTCGATTCGAAAAAAACTCGAATTCGGTTCGATTATTGTCGAGTCGAGCTCGAGCTCGAGTAGCTCGATTTATCAATCGAGCCAAATTCGAGTATTATTATATCTGACTCGAGTAGCTCGCGAGCCTAATCGAACTTTTATATTTAAATATATTTTTATTATTTTAATTAATAAAATATTTCGAGTCCGAGTTCGAGTTCGAGTTCGAGCATGAATAATCGAATTTTTGTCGAATATACGAATCGAGCTTATTTTTACATATTAATCGAGCTTAATCGAGCGAGCTCGAGTAGCTCGAATTCGATCACGAATCGAGCTCGAGCTTGAAAAATAAAACTCGATCGAGCTCGAGCCGAGTATCGAACCCCGAGTTGTGAGTCGAGCTCGAGCTCGAGCCTCTCACTACTCGGCTCGGCTCGGCTCGTTTACAGCCCTAGATGTACCTTCTCTTGTCTTTTAAAAAAAAAAAAAAAAAAGAGTTAATATTGGAGCCAATTTGCTGCAACCCAACTTTTTGACCTTTTTTAATTTGCACCCATACGTACGATATTGCACGTCCAAAGAGTTATGGGCCCCTTTCTTGGCTTATTGTGGTAATATAGTCTTTAAGTCCTACCATTTCCGCCAAATTTCCTACTTTTACTTTTACTTTTTTCTTGAAGAAGCAGTTTCTATTACTTTTGGTTAATGTTATATATATATATATATATATATATATATTAGATTACTTACATAATATATACATATATATAAAAGCTTTATCTTTTTATAGTTTTGTTTTTGTATTTTAAAATCTTTCGTTTTTGTCTTCTAACTCTATTTTATATCAAATGAATCCTATTATAAAAAAAAAAATCTATTTAATTGTAAGAGTTGAGTTAAACTATGGATCTTTAAGAGGACATCCAAATAGTTGAAAATTTGAGATTTTAATTTAAAAGGATATGATTTTAAATTTAAAAAAAAATCAAAACATAAGGCCGGTTTGAATTTCATTACATTGGAGGTAAGATGGAATCAAGGGATTGAAGCCTTCAATTACATGGTGGGATGCATTTGGGTATCACCTTGTTGATGTGGTTGGAAGCTCTCGACTACACTGTCATTTTAGTTTTTCATTAAAAGAGAGAAAGATCTACTGGTCACAGACTTTTGGGCAATTGACTGTCTACTTGCGACAATCAATTATTTTAGTGTAGAATTTTTAAACAATAAAAAGACTTTCAATTATGATAATAGATTGTTTTTTATGAGATAATAGACTATTATACTTAATTTTATCATCGGTTTGTACTTAAACACATTTTTATTAGTAGTTTTAATGTTATCATTAAAGTACTAATTTCATAATTACTATTGTTTTCAATGTTTATATATACAAATAAAATGTGAAATTAAAAATAATAGTTGAAATTAAATTAATTACTGTAATAATGAGAATAAAATTATTGATAGAATATCTATTTAGTTATAAAAATAATAATTAATGTGAGATTAATTATTATAATGATGAAAGTAAAATTATTGATAAGATATACATTTAGATGTAAAAACAATTGTGACAATGAGATAAATTAAAACAAAAAAAAATTATCATTAAGGATATTGATTAAAAATTACATGTAATAAAAATTTCAAAGTATTTAATATTAATAAAATAATAAATAATTAAAAACACTTAAATTATTTTTACATTAAATAATAATTTTGTTATTAAGTAATTTAAAAATTATTTATTGGCTTATTATATAATAAAATTTATTTATTAATTAAGTTATTATATAATAATAAATTTTAATTTTATATTAAATTAAAAAAATCACAATAATTTTTAAATAAAAAATGAAATAAAAAACCTAAAAAATTGTTAAATTGAAGGAGAAAAAACCTACGATAATGATCTATTGGAGTCTTAAATTTCAATGAGCAATCAACAAATATTTCAACGTAACACAACCTCATTTTAATTTAAAAGCAACTATTTGCATAACTTTTCATTATAATTAAACTATGAAAAAGATTATCTCCTGCAAGTAGTTTATTGATGAATTGAGGATAAAAATATGGCATTTCAAATTATAAGGACCAAGCTAGTAAATGATCCAAAATTGAAACTTGATGCAAAATTGCAATTTAATCTTACAGTTACTATTATTTTATTTCAGACTGTACATGAAATCACGCAAAAAATTTCCAATCCGGGCAAAATCAACGGATAAAAACGCCATCTAATCAGTCCACCTGTCCACAATCAACCATCTCTCCACACTCTCGAATTTATGCTTATGTGGCAGAATCACAGCCAATTCATCTTTATTCAACGTACATACGCACGCACTCTAAACTGCCCTAATAACAATAAAATAAAAAATTAGTATAAAAGAAAAAAAAAAAAAGCGGGCGTGACTTACAAAACGAACACGCAACTTCACCGAAACTAACCCGGACGTGTTCCCCGTCAAAAAACCGGATTTAATATTCGGTGATAAGTCCGGTCACTTTTTGTAAATTTTTGTGGGAGGATTGGTTTATTCCGGTGGTCTCTTTCCTTGGTCAAAAAGGGGCCAAAAAAAACAAAGATAAGTCGGCGTCTTCCATACACCAAACCCTGTTTCCGGTATTTCTCTTCCATTCATCAAATTTTCCTTTTCTCTTTTCCTTTCCCTTTTTGTTTGTATCCGGGAAACTCGTAAGTTCCTTTAATTGGATTACCTGTTTCTTTGAAGATTGATTGATTGATTGATTCAATTTCATATTCGCCTTTTATTTTGGTTATTTTTCATTGGATCGATTTGTAATTTCTGAGTGATTAAGTTTTTGATTATTGGTTTTTGCTTGGCTACAGATTGTAAACTGAACATGGATTTGGTGGCCAGTTGCAAGGTATTTTACTTTTATTTTTTATAAAATAATTAGCTTTATTTGATTTTTTTTCCTATTTTAAGTCGCCCCTGTATTTTTTTTTTTTTTTTGCTTCTTCAGAAAACGGTATGTATATGCAATGATATAAGACTTAACTATTGAATATTGTTTGAGAATAGATCTTTTATATCCCTTTTTTTTAATCAAATTCAATGAACTAGGTTAACAATTTTCCGTGATCCTACTTTTGTTTTTGCAAAGTAATTTAACTGTTGGATAGCGGGTAATCCATTATATAAGGGGTATTGAGTGCTGAACTTAATTCAATAATTGGGTTGTCCTCTTGTTCCAGCATAAGGTATAGCTGAAATCGCTTTGTGAATCGAGCAGGTTTAAGTTTGGGAGTAAGCTTACTATGGATGCTTTTGTTGGTTTTAGATTTTTTAATTGGTGGAATTAGTATTAGCCATGAACAAAGGGCTTTTTGATAGTGCTTAGTGTCTCTATCTTTATTTTATACAGCCACTTAAATCACAGCATTTTTATATTTATAATTGTAGTATTTTCTTTATCAGAGTATCAGACCAACCTTTTAAGCTGTATTTTAGTAGATAAAGTGGTATGTTTTAAGTTGTTTCTTGTTATGATTGATGTTAATAAGTTGATGCTTTTTTTTTTCCTCAATTTGTTTGTTGAGAGTTTATTCAAATATGATATTGCTGTTGTAGGATAAATTGGCGTATTTTCGAATAAAAGAACTCAAGGATGTTCTCACTCAATTGGGCCTTTCAAAGCAGGGGAGGAAGCAGGTTAGGGGCTTGAGATAATGCCCTGTATTTTACTTAGTTTCATTCTTTTGTATGTATATTAGGGGGATGTCTTTGTTGAGTCTTAACTTCATAGTGGTTGTGATAGTCTTTGTTCTTATTATCCTGAATAGTCTTTGTTGTTATTATCCTGAATTTATGGTTCCCTCTTTTTTTGCTTTTTGTATATTTTCTCTGGATAAAGCCAGTACTATCTTAATTCTTAGTGGTGTTTGACAAGCTCACATTATTTGACTGCAAAAGGAATTGGTGGTAGGTGGAATTTTTACTCTTTCTCATTTATACTTTGTGCTTTTGTGTGTGTCTGTGTGTGTGTGTTTGTTTCTTCATTTTAGTTTTTTGAGCATGCGAAGGTGAAAAATAAATTTTGACCCACTAGACTGCAAGGTGGTTGTAACTGTGCTATTTTGCTCCTAATCACTTACACATTTAGCAAATTAACAGCTTTCAAATTTTGGGGGCTGTGATAATTGTTTTTCTGTCAATTATCTGCATTTTAATTATAACTTGCATCTTCATGATGTAGAATTATGTTTGACCTTTCTGTAAATTTCATTTGTAGGACCTTGTTGAGAGGATATTATTTGCTCTCTCTGATGAACAAGGTAAAATATTTCTTCCCAGCCTCTCTCACTCTCTCTCTCTCTTGTTTGAATGGACAACACATAAGCATCATGGTCATTAATGGGTTATTATAATCTTTTAAATATTTATTCTTTCTGGCGTTACCCTGCAAGCCTGAGATATAGGTTGTTAGAGTGCTTGTGCCTGCAACACACTCACTGTTATATTGCTGGATATGAAATAATAATGTATATTGTTAGAATGCTGTGAAGTGTTTCCTAGCTCTTACTAGGTTTATATCAGTCAATTTTTTTTTTTTTTTTGAGTGGGGAGGTGACCAAAGAAAGAAATTTTGCAACTGTTTTCCTGCCTAATTTTGCTTTAGGTTTTCTGGATTGTAAAGATTATAGTATTTATATTTATCCATTAATTTTATTATAATTTGTTGATGCTTCCAGTGGCTGTCTGTAATTTGTTTTCTTAACGAGTGCAGTGTTTTGGTGGGGAAAGGGAGGGAAGGGTTTGCATATGAGTATGCTTGTCAGTAGAATTGTACTATTTCCTGAATTTTTAGTGTCATTAGATTCTAGATAGTTTAAATTTGGCTCTTAAAGCTGTTAAATCTGTTTAATCTGTTCAAAAACTACTTATTTTAGCCTTTATGATAAGGTTGGATTTACTTGTTCTTTCCCAGTTGCAAGGATGTGGGCAAAGAGGACTCCTGTGGGAAAGGAAGATGTGGCGAAACTTGTCGATGACATATACAGGTTTGCTTTTACACTTACGATTTATTCCTATTCAGATTTAGATGGCAACTTTACAGTGGGATCAGTTGTTTCTTTTTTTTTTTTTTTTTTTCCTGTGTACAAGATATAGTCTACCATTGAGATAAGAGGATGCTAGCCAATTGGATCTACCATATCTAATTACCCACTTAGGACTATTGTATGCTTTGTTATTTCCTCTCTGGAAAGAGAGAGAAAGAGTGTGTGTGTTTAATTGCTAAAGTGTATTTCTTGTCCTTAGGAAGATGCAGGTTTCTGGAGCCACTGAAGTGGCATCAAAGGGACAGGGTGTGTCAGACAGCAGTAATGTTCAAGTTAAAGCGGAAATAGATGATTCCTTTCAATCAGATACGAAAGTTCGTTGTCCCTGTGGAAGTTCATTGGAGACTGATAACATTATCAAGGTAATGATAATGACCTTATTGTTCTTTGCCCTCATTATTGTATGTTAATTATAATGTGGTGTCACAAGCGTGCGATTGAAATGTTGGGTGGTTCTACCTTTTTATGATCAATGTCATATTGTTTATTTATGGCCCCTAGCCTCTTATAGCTAGCTTTGCATTTGCTTGATTTGAAATAATATATTATGCTCGAGTTTCATAGTACTTCTGCAATTTGCCAGTATCATCTTATGATTTAGATTTTTGCTAATTGCCTTGTACACTTTGATGCTAAGTTTTCATATTTCTATTTATGTCAGTAGTTTTTTTTTTTTTAATTTGTAATTCTTGAGGCTTTGAGGTCTTAATGAATCTGATAACTGTTTGACTGGTTTTGGGGGAACTGTCTTGTAAAAATTGTAGATAGATCTTAGGCTATAAAAAGATGAAAATCGATAGATCAGTTTGCATTGGTGGATTTGCTGGGAAACACTGACTTTGAATACGAGTGTATAGATTCAGGCACATTAGACTTTCTACTAGATTTTCTTCTTTACCTTTAGTTTTTGGATGGAACCATTCATTTCCCTAAGGTTGACATTGACCTCAAAGCTGAAGTAGACATTTTCCCAGTGGCCATCTGCAACAATAGGTATCTCGTGATGCAGCTTTCTATGTTTGTGTACTTTCATATGAATCTTGTCTTGATGGAATTGTATGAGTTATATTGTTTTTGATCCTCTTGTTTATTACCGCATTTTTGAGTGATTCTTGCTATAGTGATATCAAGGTGTCATATGTTATGATCAAAACATGTTATTTCTGTTCATAATTCTGATTCATATGTTATGTTCTTCTCCATTTTGAGAAGAGATACATGGATTCTTAAGACATCTGGTTTTTGTTATCCACTACAACATTGTCTTTTCTTCTACCTTAAATTGAATTGATGATGATTTTGCTTTCTGCCTTTGTTCTAACAACAGTGTGAGGATTCAGGATGCCATGTTTGGCAACATATTGGTTGTGTTATAATTCCAGAGAAGCCTGTGGAGGGAAATCCGCCAATTCCTGATTTGTTTTATTGTGAGATTTGTCGACTAAGCCGAGCCGATCCGTATGTCTCTCTCCTCGGTTTGTGTGTTTTTTGGTGTGCACATGATTACTTCAAATTGGCAGTCAAGCTATTTACTGGTTTATGGTTTGGTTATTTGCCGAAGTTTGATGTCATGATGTAGAAATATGTGAATACATTTATCATATTTCACATCTAATTGAATGTGTCCTACCTTTATAACTATGCGTATTGCAATATTAACGTGGTAGACATTTGTAGTGCTGTTTAGTTGAGTAAGGAGTCATTCCTGGTTGAACCTCTGTGATAGTCAGAATGTGTAATTAGGATGTAGGACTTGTAAATACAGACTTGGCTTTCATGCTGCCAGCTATGTAGGCAGAAGAAAGGAAAAAGAGAAGTGTGAGAAAAAGTAGGAAGTAGTTGTTTTTAGTGCACATGGCATAGAAAAAAATGTGAAACGATCAAATCAGTTTGAATGTGGAATCAAATCCTAATATTCCTTTGGGAAAAATGAGGGATATTTTCTTATTTGTATGATTTTTTATTATTTATTGTGTGGTTATGTACTCTTAACTCATTTAGTTTGTATCTAATATGTCGAGGACACCACTTTAGTCAGTGGCTTTATAATAAAGATTAGGGATTGTGGTGGGAGGTATATGAAAGAGCCTATGATCCTTTCCTATTAGCAATTCTTTTAAGATCAAAATACTGTTACTTATAGCTATAGGGTGTTTGAAAAGTTAATGCTAAATCAGCTCTACTACAGAAGAAACCTACCTGTAGAAACATACTATATATCTAGTTCTTTAATGTTCACTGCATCATGTATTTTTTTTCTACAGTGACCATTTCATCATAACTATATTCTGTATTTGCGTTGTACTTTGTATACATGTATGTATCTAGTATCCATCTGGATGCATCTAGAGTATCTTTGCTGGACATAACATTAATGGGTTTGAAATTTGTTCACTCTGTTAGACCTTGATTTTAATTGGAAAATATATGTTACATTCTTTTAATTCATTATGTGGTTCGGATGCAGTTTTTGGCTTAGTATTGCGCACCCTTTAAATCCAGTGAAGTTGGCTGTTACAAATGTCCCAACTGATGGGTGAGTGCAGTAGATGAGAAATAATGAAGCTCTTTCTTTTTTCCCATGAACTTCCAGGTCATTTAGGTGTAAATGTCATTTGTCTTTATGCGTTGTGACTGTTCTCATATTTGTTTGTTAGTTTAATAATTCAGATCCACCATTTTACAGTACAAGTCAAATGCAAAGCGTGGAGAAAACGTTCCAAATCACCAGAGCAGAAAGTGACATGCTAACAAAGCAAGAGCGTGACGTCCAGGTTGGCTACTGTACAAAAAATGTGTATAGTTTGATGATATTGTATTTAGTTATCTATTTTGATGATTTTGTTTTTCATCTTGTCCAATAGGCATGGTGCATGCTTCTGAATGACAAAGTTCCATTCAGGATGCAGTGGCCTCAATATGCAGATTTGCAGGTCAATGGTATGGTTATTAATATTTTGCTTGGACTACTTAGCAGTTGGCAGCGCCTTTTACAGCTTATTTGCTTCGCTACTGCTTATTGAATTTATCATTGAAAAGAAAGGACAAAAAAAAAAGCATGCTTAGCATGTTTGCCTTCTATTTTTCGTAATTGCAACATTGTTGTTTTCCATCTTGACATTGAATATTTTCTATGCACATTTCCATTTCAATTTTGATCAGTAATCATTTTTTGGGAAAACAACTGACAGTTTTTTAAGCAGGTGTACCTGTTCGTGCAATTAATAGACCTGGCTCACAATTGCTCGGGGCTAATGGCCGTGATGATGGTCCAATTGTGAGTTTTTTTCCTTCTATAAAAGAGATTAATTTTGCTTTTGTTCTTGATATATATGTAATCATATTCTCCATAGAATTTACCTTTACATGAGTACGCATGCGATTGGAATGGGTGGGGAAGCCAGCAGGCAGGTTATTGCATGTGCTTTATAATCCTGTTAATATGTTTTACCTATTAAGAAACATCCATTATCTCAACACTTGTTTCATTGTCTGTTCTATTGTCAGATAACTCAATTTACTAAAGATGGAATTAATAAGATAACTTTGACTGGATGTGATGCTCGCATATTCTGTTTTGGAGTTAGAATTGTTAAACGGCGAACGCTTCAACAGGTATGTTAACAACTTCAAAATATATATTTTGAGATTTACCATGGATTTTTCATTCTCTGGAATTACTATATGGATTGCATTGCTGGTTGTTTGGCTTTTGAAGCAAAAAATGATAATGCTCCCTTTTGCAAAGTAAAGAAGCTTTACATGTAAGAATTTCTATTCAATGCCTGCATGTTCTGTCATCAATTTTGTCAGAATTGATTAGTTTGATAACTAAGCAGACTAGAACATAAATAATTTTAGTGGTCATATTTGGCCGTTTTGTTTTCATTTCACTGCATTTTAGTTAAATCACTACATATTAGACACTTGACCACTTAGGCTCCATTTGATAAATGCTTTTGCTTTTTTTTTTTTTAAGGAAATGAATGAAAAGGATACAAAAAAAAAAAAATTTAATAGAAAACTAAAAACAAATAGGAAAAAAATAAAGTGTTTACCAATTGGAGCCTTAGTTATTTCTTGCAATTTTGGTGAGGTCAGTGGTGCCTATGTCAATGCAACATTGACATGGGTATGGGATCCAAGTCAGATTAGACTGGGGAAAATGCCACAAAATGGATTAAATCAGTGCCCTGAAGTAAAGCTTTATTTTCACCTTTCTCTCCCTTTTCCCTTCTTTAATTGCTTTAAAAATCTTCATACCACGCAAATTAACAAGAATGAAGAACAAAAAGAGAATGGGGCTTTATCATGGGAAACTCATGATTATGAAGATTGACTGATGGAAGAGGCTGGAGCTGGAAAAAAATGGAGAGGTTACAATAGAGGAAGAGGGAAATATGTCATATTTGGGGCTTTCATATTTTATGATTTGGTTTTAAACTGTCATGTAAAGGGCGCCATTCTTCACATTATTAATATGGTCAACTTATTTATATTTGGGTTTTGCTTTGGCCCATTTTTTTTACATGCTGTTGGTTTGTCTAATCTGGGCCCATTTCAATAGCTGAGAATGAAAAGATAAATGAGATTTTGGCCTGAAATAATTAAATGTTTTTAGCTGGAAATGAGGTTGGCTTGCTTTTATGATTGTGGTTTGGTTTCAAGCCCCAAAACCAGTAATATCAGGTTTTAACTTCAGATAAAGATAGTTGAACTACTAACATTAATGTTAAGTATCTTAGTACTATAATTTGAACAACATATCCCTGCATGTCTGTGCAACTGAAACTCACCTTCCTATATCCCTATTTTTGTCATCCTTTATGATCATTTTATATTCTTGTGGCCTGGCCTAGATACTCAACATGATTCCCAAGGAGACTGATGGTGAATGTTTTGAAGATGCTCTTGCTCGGGTATGTCGTTGTGTTGGTGGTGGAACTGCAACAGACAATGGTGATAGTGACAGTGATCTAGAAGTTGTCGCAGAATTTTTTAGTGTCAACCTGCGCTGCCCTGTGAGTTATATAGTTTGCTAGCAATCTCTTGCCTATAAATTTCTGCCACCGTGCACCATTTTTATGCTAAGAATATTACACATCTATTTGATTGGGCTTCATTTTTCAAGTATTTAATTAGTTTATCTTGTAAAGCGTGCTAGAAGAGATGGTTATTGTGCCTTGCAAAATTAGTGGATCAAATGCTTTTAAGTATCACTTACCTACCAGCATGGTCACTATTAATTGTCTATAGGGGAAGCGTCTAAGTTTGTAACCGTGTCTTTGATTTGTAGTATTATTGTTGGCTGAGGCTATGATGCATCGTTATAAAGGTGCTTAATGTAAAAAAAATGCACTTCATCCTATATCGAGGTGCTTATGCTATTTATCATATTTCCTGCTGTAAAGCTGCATTGTGTTCCCTTTCTACTGTTGGAGCCCATACTATAATAGGTTTATTTTGTCAAAGTTTATGGTGTTATTAGTCTACATGGACAATATCTGCAGTCATGCACTAGTGCTTTGTTCCTAAAAAACTGGAACTTTATCTTATCTCCATTTGGGTTCATCTATTTGTGTGCTTATCCTATGACCTACTTATTTAATATTCTATCTGTTTTTGCTTTCTATTGTGTGTTTATATATGGCTGTCTGTAGAATATACAATTTATTCTAAGCTGAATGCCAGAGTCGTGTAAGAGGGGATGATTCTTCTACTTTTCCTTTTTCTTCTATAAATGTTCGGTGCTAATGGGATTTGAATGCTCTATTTCATTACTGCACCCTTCTTTGAAGTTGCTCTAATTATTTCTAACGTTCATTTATGTGTTTACCCATGACAGATGAGTGGTTCAAGAATGAAGGTAGCTGGAAGGTTTAAAACCTGTGTTCACATGGGTTGTTTTGATCTTGAAGTTTTTGTGGAGCTGAACCAACGTTCTAGGAAGGCAAGCAACTATAATAACTTGTTTATTTTCATTTGTAAATCTTTCAGGGTTTTGACAAGCATTTGTATGCAATTGCAGTGGCAGTGCCCAATTTGTCTGAAGAATTATGCATTGGAGGATGTTATAATTGATCCATATTTTAATCGCATCACATCCAAGGTGGGTGCCTGCAGTTCTCCTGTATTTTTCTACATGATGTCAATGTGTGATAATGATGATTAACTGTGGTACAGATGAGAAATTGTGGAGAAGATATTACGGAGATTGAGGTCAAGCCTGATGGTTCTTGGCGTGCAAAGGCTAAAAGTGAAAATGAGCATAGAGAACTTGGTGATCTTGCACAATGGCACTTTCCTGATGGTACCCTATGTGGATCTGGTAGTGCAAAGGCTAACCCAAGAGCTGAAACATCAAAGCAGATCAAAATGGAAGGTACTTCAGAAGGTTATACAGGTTTGAAACTTGGAATCAGGAAGAATAGCAATGGGTGCTGGGAGGTTAGCAAGCCTGAAGATATGAACACCTCTTCTGGTAGTAGATTACCACAAGAAAGGTTTGAACATCATGAGCAAAAAATTATCCCAATGAGCAGCAGTGCTACTGGAAGTGGTAAGGATGGTGAGGATCCCAGTGTAAATCAGGATGGTATTGGAACTTATGACTTTACAAGCAGTGGGGTAGAACTTGAATCAATACCTCTTAACATAGATTCTGCATATGATTTTCCTGACCGAAATCCGTCTGCACCAGCTGGAAATGCAGAAGTTATTGTTCTTTGTGATTCAGATGAAGAGAATGAAATATTGATACCTTCTGCAACTGCCTATGAGGATAATCACAACGATGCTGGTGGACTTAATTTTCCAGTTGCTCCTACTGGAATTTCTCTTCCATATTCTGAAGATCCATCTCTTGGGCCTGCTGGTCATTTTGGTCTTTTTCCTCATGAATTTGACATGCCTCTGTGGCCGTTACCTCCGGAAACCCAAGAAGGCCCTGGGTTTCAACTATTTGGTACAGATACAGATGTCACAGATGCCTTAGTTGATCTGGGGCGTAATTCTCTCAATTGCCCTTCATCAATGAATGGATATACATTGGATCCTGAGACAACAATGGAATCTGCAACTCTAGTCCCTGGTTCTTCCATTGGTCAGACTGATATGGATATAAATGATGGCTTGGTTGACAATACCTTGTTTGGTGGAGAAGATCCCTCTCTCAAGATATTTCTTCCAACACGTCCTTCAGGTGTATCAGTGCAGTCTGATCTGAGAGATCAAGCTGATGTATCGAATGGCATCCGTACTGATGATTGGATTTCACTTAGGCTTGGAGGTGGTGCAAGTGGTGGTCATGGGGACTCAGCAACTGTGAATGGATTGAATTCAAGGCAGCAGATGCCTTCCAGAGATTGTACTGTGAATTCTTTGGCCGACACTGGTTAGTTTCCTTGTTCTTTTGAAGAGCTATAGTGCTGTAGCTTATGTTTAAAATTTACCGTATCACAGCCATCAAATAGCGAAGGCTTCAAGCTGGTTACATGCAAGCATGTGTGATTCTTGGACAGTGCTGGTATATATGTTTGAATTTGATTAGTAGGGATATGTTCTAGCGTTGTTTAACTATTTAATTGCCAATCCTTTTTGGCTACACATTTTTTAGGCTAGGTTTTCTTTTATATGCGTTTTGCACATGATTTGTCTTGCAACTTGCAAATGAGTATTATTAGCAATTTTAAACTTGAACTTATTTATATTTGGATTCAAATAAAACCTTTTTCATTCTTATTAATTGAAGTGCAATTAACGATATTTTTCTTGCTCAGGAATATTTGTTCTTGAATTCAATAAAAATGAAGGCATTTTTTATAAAAGAAATAAGTTTACATTGAGCAAAATTAATAAGTTTTATACTTTGTAAGTTAATTGATATCATGATGAATAATTTTCAAGATGGTATTGATGAGGAGTTTGTTTTACAAGATCTGCTTGTAAGTTTCAGGAATCATAATAGACTGCATTTGCATTGAACAGCTCTATCAGTTGATCCTTTTTTTTTATATATTTATTTTCGGGCACTGACTGTTCCTTCTGCAGCCTCTCTACTGCTTGGTATGAATGACAGTAGATCTGAGAAGTCAAGTAGGCAAGCATCAGAGAGCCCTTTCTTATTTCCTCGGCAAAAACGTTCTGTGAGACCAAGATTATATCTTTCTATTGACTCAGACTCGGAGTAATGGAACTTGTTTGCCTAAAGTTTCTTGCGCTCCTCCTGAATTTTTCGGGAATGCAAAGACATCTCATGCAGAAATTTGGTGATCACTCATGAAGAAAGTTGACTGGCATTTCAGTTAAACAAGACATGGAAAATTTCAGAAGAAAAGCCCAGCTGAAGGGAAAAAAAATGGCTACAAGGGAGCTGTGCTACGGTACTGAGCTGGCGACTGCAGAATCTTTTTGTTAAATGGTGAGCTCGAGGCCCTTATTGATGCTTACCGTTGTCTGCTGCACATTCAATGAAGCTCGACTTCTAATTCTATGCGTTGTAACAGGGTTGTTACAAGCAGTTTCACCCACGGTCAACACAGATCAGCAGGTCCTATTAAATTGTACAGTTAGTTGATTTAGTCTGAAAATTGGAGTGTTGATCCAATGGTTCAAAACCTTTGGTGCAATCCTCAAGTACACAGATCCACCATTTTGCCTCTTGTTTTAAGATGTTGAGTAAATTCACTCAAATTTCAGTTATTTATAGAGAAATGGTATTTTATCAAATTGGTTCCTTTTGCCAGACAGATTTCCCTGCCGTTACTGGTATATGTTGCCACTTTCCGTGGTAACTACTTTACTTTTGAATGGCTGAATAGCTTTATTAAGTGCATGACCCTACAGACTAGAATTTTTTTTTTTTTTTTTTTATAATTTTAGTCTTTTAATCATGAACCATGAAATGGAATTTGTGGGACACTATCATCCAAAGAGGAGAAATATTGAATTTTTCATTGAATGAGTCCATGGTAGCTAGCTAAGTTCTCTTTATAATTTATGGTCCCAACATTATATACTCTCGTGATCAAAGTGTACAATCCCAAAATGGGTGCACAACCATTTTAAGTAATGTTATGGTAGCGAAGGACATGGGAGCTGTGAACTATGAATTTCTACAGCAACAGTTATCCTATTCTTCATTTGCAATGCCTGAAGCTGTCACAGCCTGGGCAATTGTGCAAACTCTCATGAATATAAATGTCACAGTCGAGGCAGAAGTACCTTTCGCACTTTGGGCACACAACGGAAAGGCCACGTTTATTTCCTGAGTCAAAACCAGCAAGCATCAGGAGGAAGAATAGGACATTAGGAAGGAAGAGAGAACAATGACACGGATTACAATGTCAAGCAAACATTATTAAGCAAAGCATAAAGAGTCGAGAAAAATATCAATGAATTGAATACAACTTTGCAAAACCTAAAACTTAAAGAGCGATCGTGCATCAAAGAATCTTCAAGTTCTCAGAACAATGTCCCCTATGAATGGAATTTTCCAGCGCAGCAATAATATCAGCCGGTAGTCGGACAAATCATCATTACATTTATAAATGTGTTTTATTTATTTAAGGCAAAGGTTCAAGAGACAATGCATTTATTTTTTAGTAGCCATTAGCCAAGGAAGTAGCATAGCGCTTTTCTCCTATTTTCTTCCCTCAGAGAGTCTTAGGCTAGTTGTATGAACAATCGCCATGGCATGTCAATTTATTAACTTATTTTAGATATTTTCCAATGCAATTTCAATATTTGTAACATTATAATGTCAAACAACACTGAAGTACCCATTCCTTAACACCACTTACCTGGATTGAGGCTTTGTTGGCATCCAAAACAATTTCTTTGCAGTTTGTGGTTTGGATCATTTAAATGAGATGGAGGCACCTCATCAAATGGTGCTATAGGAAAGAGATGATGATATGATCTAGCCAAATGAGGTGACGACACGAGCGTCAACCCGCAGATTTGACATTCTGTAGGAAGCTCACACACACAGGCTTTGCATCTTGGACAAGTGTAACCTGTACCTTCCTTAGCTTCTTTATGACATAAACAAATCGATATAGAACCCTCAGCTGCTCTTTGTGGGAATCCCATCTTGATCAAATTAGCAATTGCAAATTCTGCTATAGCAGGTGGTGGGGGTGCATGCTCCAATACTAGCTCTTTAAAGTGGGACTGCACAAGTAAAACAAACACATAGAAAGATTTTACATTTCCCCCATTAATCAATAGATAAGAGAATTTATTACAAAACCAACTGAAAATACGTAAATCGAACCAACGACTCTGGTTCCCACCTTCCAAAGGTAAATAAATAACAACAAAAAGCAAAGGAAAAGGAAATTTTTGAGAAATTGCAATATAGAACATTTAGAAGATATAGAGTTAGAGACCCATAACTTGTCAATGAAATTTCATTTGGCTTTTCTAAGACAAAGTCCCCTTGGATCCTAATGAAACAGAATTTAACTTTCCTTTTAAGTTCACCGATTAACTCAAGTGATTCCTATAAGAATTTCAAATGATGTTACATCAGTTCAGTTTAATATGGTCAATCATTGTCTCTTGTTGCTCTTACCTCATCCAGTGCAACAGAGTATGTTCCTCCAGTTTCCTGGAAAAGATGTTTGCATATAAACATTTCTGCAGCAAGGCCTATAACTGAACATCTTATTTTAGATTTCTTGCATTTCTGAATGGTCTCCATTATGTCTCCAGGATCACAAGTACTGAGAGCAGAATATAATATAAGAATTTCACGATGACCATATGATGGAATTTGAGTCAGATACCCATGTACGAGATCCAATGCATTCTGTAAGGAGGAATCACCTGAACAATCCAACTTCTTCATCAAAGCTTTGATATGAGACTCAGGACTACCACCGAGATCTGTTAAGCAGTGAGCAATCCCATCTTTTATAGTCACAAGGCCAACTTGACTAAGAGGATTCTGGTCAAAAAACTCCCTGATAAAAGCTTCAACATGTTTTGCAATGACAACAATTCAACTTGGTCCAAAGTCCATCTCTGAAGCTGCCTAAATACAGAAACAAAAAGGACAATCAGTTGTTCATGTAAAGAATCAAAGAACATTGATTATTTTTAACTTTATGAAGATTGAATCAGAATAACCAATATTCAGGCAAGAACCCGATGGTAGTTACCCTTTGTCCTCAAAAGGGGAAGGCCTATATTCAATTCCTCCCTCCCCAACTAAAAGAAAAAAAAGGAAAACTAATTACAAGGAGCATGTTTCAGCATTGCTCACTTTACGCCTACAATAGAAACTGGGCCCTCAGGTGGCATCACAAGTTCAATTCAAGGATTCCAGTTCTCTGAAGAACCTCCAACATATTTCCCTGGAGGTACATTATATCAATTGTGTTCTATTAAGAGGCAGGTAGAACAATAAAGCCAACAAATGGATCAAATTCTACCAAATAAAATATTTACAACAGAGAAATGAAGCAGATACTAGATTGGTTTTCAAGTGAAGAACTTTGATAGGAATGTATTGCTTTCAGGATATCAAACTGGCAAATTGCTTAAAACATGCAAGTGGCATATCCATGAGAAACTCCAACAAAAAGTTCGTAAAAATTCTTCTTGTCTTTTTCTCTCTAATGTGAACAAAGAGAAGAGCACAAGTAATGGGAGTTTAAACCTCCGCTAAACACAAGCTTGTGATTAATAATACGGTAGACTTGAGCGAGGTGGCATCACTTAAAACTACAGATTATTACTCATAATAAATGATTGCAAAACTTAATTGCTAGAAGTAACCAAATCAATGCTAGAAAAGATTGCCTATCAAACTTGAAATTACCTATTGTAGAACAAAATTCCATTCTCTTTATCCAAATAAGAACATATTTTAGTGAACATACGAGTTAAACCTTAAACTACAGTGATAATGGGGGTGGAAAATGATACCCGGGAAAGATCAATAACAACGTACAGATAACGAATGAGGCCCTTTTGTATCCGAGCAGCAGTGGCAGTCGAAGAAAGGGAACCAAGTCGCCTACGGTACTGTGAATGATAAAGGGCCTTGTTGTCAATGGGGCGAAGTAGCCCTGACTCGTCCTCTTGCAAAGATTCCGACGACCTCTCATCAGTGTAAGTTCTCTCCCATGCATCAAGATCCCCATTCACGTCATCTTCATCATCATCCTCTTCCACTCCGCTATTGATCCGTCTTCCCCGTCCATTATTCATTCTTCTTTAAACCAACAATTTAAATGCTTCTCACAACTTGATTAGGTTCTACCTCCCTGCAGTGTCCTAAAAATTCACAAAATTTCAGCAAAAATCTTAAGATAAAATGGGAAAAATTAAAGAAACAAATATATTCAACGAACTAAAACTTCAACACCAATATTTTAATATAATTGTCTGCATAAACAATAAAAGCAACACCTCTTGGTTCCAAAAGGGAAAAAAACAAAGAGTAAATTTACTGTTTTATGAGTATGCAATGCAAATATTTGAGGAAATGACAAAACGAGAAAAATGGGTATGCGGATTTTTTTTATAAAGAATGACATATGAGGCAACCCATTTGATAGAATAAGTTAAAAATCAAATTAAAGGGAGAAAACACCCAATATTTTATAAAGAACAAATTACTATTAGACAATAGAAACCAAAACATATAAAAAAAAATGTCATAAACAAAAGATCAGTCTTTTTTTCTAAGAGAGAGTGAGTAAAGAATCACCTGGAATTTCCAGAAAACTTGAAAACCAGGAGCTGAAGTGAATCAAAACCAGAATGAAGAGTGTCAATGCTTATACTTAACTATTTATAACTTTGAAATTTTCAGCTTTTATTCTTTTACAATATGATTGGATTGAGGGGAGAGGAAATAAAGAAAAGAAAAATAAAGGTAAGTAACGGAAACAATTTTTTTTCTGTCTAAATAAATTTTTAATTTAAAAGAAATGAAAGGGGTGAAAACTTAATAATTTTTTATTTTTTTTGTAATTTTTTTTAGTACTTCAATTTGATGGAAAAATTAAGAAAAAAATAAAAAATATTATTTTTATAAAAAAATTATTATATTTATCTTTTTATTAATATTAAAAATTTAATTAAAAAAATCTAATCACATAACAATTATTCTGTAATTTTTTCAAAACCATTTTTTTTATTTCACATATCTCTTTTAATATAAAATTTTTTATAATTTTTTTGTGAATTGATTTTGATAAATGATTGAATATAAATAGATATATTTTTTTGAGTTTATAAAATATTGGATTAGCTCATAATTAGAGGTGTAAATGATACATTAGTACTCGCAAGTTACTCAAATTCGATTCGAAGAAAACTCGAATTCGGTTCGATTATTATTAAGTCGAACTCGAGCTCGAGTAGTTCGACTTATTGATCGAGTAAAAATTTGAGTATTTTTATATCCGATTCGAGTAGTTCGGGAGCCTAATCGAATTTTTTTATTTAAATATATTTTTATTATTTTAATTAATAAAATATTTCGAATTCGAGTTCGAGTTCGAGCTCGAGTATAAATAATCGAATTCTTGTTGAATAAACAAATCGAATTTTTTTTTACATATTAATTGAACTTAATCGAGCGAGTTCGAGTAATTCGAATTCGATCACTAATCGAGTTCGAGTTTGAAAATAAAATTCGATCGAGTTCGAGCCGAGTATCGAGTCACGAGTTATGAGTCGAGCTCAAGCTTCTCACTGTATCAACTCAATTCGGCTCGATTACACCTCTACTCATAATTATTTATTAATACATGTTTATAAAATATCTTTATGTTTCATTTGATTAAAAACTATTAATATAACAGCAATTGTGAAGTCAGACAAGATAGTAAATATATTATAATTCATGAGTGTTTTAAAATTATAAGTAATAAAAAGTCATAATTAAAAAAAATTATTACAATAAATTATTTTTTTATTTTTTATTTAAATAATAATTATTAAAATATTATTTTTTATTAATTTTAATTATCCAAATAAGAGATATGTATTGTTTTATTAAAAAAACTATTTTTTTATTAATATTTATCTAAACGCAGGATTAATAAAAGTTATAAAAAAACCAAAGAGGATAGGAGAAAACTACGCCACGGTGCGATTCGAAGCCACGACCTAAGATTAAGAGCCTTTATCACTCCAAACTTTTCCATTTTTGTTTCTGTTCACAGAAAAGACAAAAATTGTGATACCTTGGTGCTGGTGTTTTCCGGACTCAAAAACATATTTTGTATAAAGGTGTCTAATTGTACTTGTCTAACTATACAACACCAACAATTGTTACTTTGTTTTCGTGTAGATATAATAATTTGTTAATTTATGTTATATTTGTTTGATGTTAAATATGTATAAAAATGAATAAAATTATTATGTTATAATTTGTATGATACATCAAATATGAAATGTATAATTTTTTTTATTTTTATCAAATTTATATAATTTTATCAAAATTTTAAATTATATTAATTTTATATTTTTATATCATATTATCGTATCATATTTAAAATTATGATAATTATTTAAAAATTGAGGTTTAAAATAAAACTTTCCTCTCTTCTTATCCTGCCCATGTGAACAAAAATTATACTCTGTTCAGTTATTTTTTTAAGAATTCTAAATTACGTTTTTAGTCAAAGAAAGACAAATATTTACAATTAAATCGAAATACTCAAATATTACTAATTTTTCAGTTGACATTGATAAACTTGTTTTATATTCATTGAAATCCTGTATTCTCTCCTCTTAGTAGTCTATGCATCAAAGGTTAAGCAAGCTTCACTTCCCCCTCATTTTTGCTCTAACACTACTCATTATTGGTACAAGAACCGCAGACCAGAAATAGAAAACTTCCTGATAATCATTAGTAGAAGTTTTACCTTCAGCGTGACAAGAATAAATGGCAGACCAATTTGGGAGTAATTGATTGTGCACATTCTTTAGAGGACTATGATAGAGGCTTTATTTTTGTAGCAGGGGATCAAACTCCTGCCAACTGCCAGGCTTTGATTCTCACAACAAGAAGATGTCTATTTGGTACCATTGGGGATGTTTTAAGCAAAAGCATGATATGCCAAGGGGGTACAATTTCGCCAAGATTTTGGTTCAAATACATTAATCTGAAGATAAGTATAAATTACCTTCACTACAAAAACTACCAACTTAAGTCAAGCAAAATTTCAAACATCCCCCACTTGATTCCAAGTTTCCCACATGAGAAGACGTTCTACTTCTACAATGATTGAAACATGGACTGCAGTTTGCAAATTCTTAGCTGACTACAGCAATAAACAGGCAAAACCGCATCATTCTGCATGCCTAAAAAGAACTCAGTCTTCATTCTCCGGATCAAGAACTGGGAGTATATTCAAGGCTGAAGAGCCAATGTGCATGCCCCGCACAATGCCTCCATATCCTCCAACCTTTATTCTATGGCACAAAAGCAAGATGGAATCCCACAGTGCTGTTCTCCCCTGAGAATATCAAAATGAAATAATTGTCATCTAACTCATACAATTTTTACCTTTTTAATTAACCATAGATGTAAAATGTCTGTTCCTAGCATATAATCAGGTATGCAGCAGCTAGCATTAGAGAAAATTCATCAACAGCCAACCTTATACACAACAACAACAACACGCTAAAACTTATATCCCATACTTTAGGGTCGGCTGTATGAAAAACCAAATAAGAGAATCAAGTTAGGTTGCAATTTGAATCTTCTTGCACCACTCATTTCTATCAACAATCACCTTTTCATATAATGACCAACCTTATATACAACAACACACTAAGCCTTATATCCAAAACTCTGGGTTCGGCTGTATGAAATAAAAAAAATCAAGTTAGGTTGTAGTTTGAATCTTCTTGCACCACTGATTTCTATCAACAACTACCTTTTTATCTAATGGCCAACCTTATATACAAGTAACTAAAGTATGCGCACGCATACAGAGTAAAGCTGTTGACTGAATTGTGGCCAGCTATTGCATTGCTAAGGATATGCTTCCGTTTTCAGTTTGATGTGCTACCAAAGGAAGCTAGAGTTCAATGAATATAAAAGACAATGACTATGGTTGTTAGGATTAATTAAACCACACTAGTTTCTTTTACTAATTGTTTTGCTAGGGGAACAAAAGCACCATTAAGGATATAGTTGTTTTGATTAGGATAAAAGTTGCCCATACAATACACTGCTTAATCTTTCACGAAACAAATGAAATCATTGGCTTGGAATAAATTTGAATTGGCTTAAAATGGGGACGCTGCAGTCACTGTTGAGTAAGCCCCACAACAGAAAATGAAAAGACTAAATCACAATAGATTGATAGGAATACTAGTTGCCTATTATAATTTATTATGATATTTTATAGTAGCAAATTAGAAGCACTAAAGTTATTTATTTACTAATAAGATAATCTTTATCTCAATCATATGACAAGGCATTCATACGATTGAGCATTTTTTATTATCTAGCTTTATGTTATAATTTTTTATATCTATGTCTATCATCTTCAGAATTGCTTCAAAAATCCTGGCATCAATTTTGTTATTCACTTTAAATCATCTTTAGTAATTAGTATTAATTATTTCACTCTTTCATTTTTTGTTTATTCTTGTTTTTTTACTCCCATCTTGCAACTCATAACAAAGAAGTTAAAATATGCATTTACCTGAAGAGAGAACTGCAATTTCTTGTCCCAGTATAAAGCAAAAACGGGGGGACTTTGCTTTCCAACTGCCAGTATGCAAGCTCCTGGATGAAGAGTCAAAGGTACACCAGATATAATGGCAATGTACTTTTCTGGAAACCTGTCTTTCGGTGGCAGGACCCCCAAAAATAAGGGATTCTTACTAGATTGAGCTCCAGCATAAGAAGTAGGATCAACATGTAACATCCATTTTGGGTGCTCTAAGAAAGCACAAAACAGGTACAAGAGCAAGTGAGAATCAGTTGGAAGATCATGAGTCCACTTCTTGTTCTTTTTGTCATAAACCTCCCCACTTCCAAGATACTCATAATTCTTCAAGCAGGTTCCTTCAGCAAGTTCTGTGCAATTCCACAAAAGGTAGTTCTCTAAATTATGTACGCTAAAAGGTGTCTATAAGGTTTATAACTTATAAGTAAAACAGACACTAAGCATATTAGGGACATTTTAAGTTTGAAAAACCTCGAATCCTTTGCACTGTGTAATCTGCCCTCACACTGCTTTGTGGCAGCAAACCCTTCATCCACTCCCCTTTCATCAATGCATGAAGCCTCTGGTGTTCAGCAATAGCATCGACACACTCCTGCATAACAGGGATAAAAGGATTTTGTTGTGGGGATTGTTGTTGGCTGGCTAAAGGCTTTGCTGCATTTGATGAAAAGGTGCCATTAATAATCCTTAGCTAAGACCAATAAACAAAACCAACCCGGTAAACACAAAAATAAATTAATAATAGCAATGAAAGCAACTTACACATGGAAGCCTCAAGAGCCTGCACAAGAGTTGCACGTAACTGATGAAGTAGCCCTTCTTCCTCAAGGGCGAAAGCTGGTTGCCATTCCTTCATCCTATCAGGTGGAGACAAAGTAACAGGACTTCCATTGGTTGATAGATCACTTCCTACTTGACTAATTGTTATTGAGATATTGAGTTTAGCAGCTGCTTGCGTTACCTAAAAGCAAACGATTTGAGAATAATCAGGTTGCAATATAGAAAACCACAGAAGAAAAGCAGACAATGGACATAATTAGGCTGCCTGTCCAAAACATAGATCAAAAGTAGAAACTACCAACAGAATTGAGCCTGTGCAGCAGGCAACTATGGGGAAAGGAGCTATAAGCAACACATCAATGTTTCAACAAACTTTCTCATTTTCTCAAATTCTAAACTAAGTTCATATCATGCTAACATTCTAATTTTGATGAACCGCAACAAAATAGCAAAGTGTAAAATTATGCAACTCATTGTGCAAGATTAAAGTTGAATACAATATGGACTCAATTCATAATAGCCATATTCTGACAAAAAAAAAAAAGGCTTCTCCTTTTCATCCCTGATAAAACACATTCTTCATAAAAAAAAATAAAAATTGAAAATCTTATCATTGAATTTTTTGAAATCATGAGTGGCTTAACTTCCTCACATTTCTCATAAATATTATATTTAAAAAATCATAAAAGCCAAAATAGACACTATATAACATGGTTAGGATGAGATTATATGGTGAATACTCTGTAAATTTCCATAAGACAATGTAACTGAAATAATGGCATAGATGAGAGAATGAAAATGATAAAGGACCTGAAGATGACTTGTTTCAATCTTATTAAGTAAAGGGTTTAGCAGAACAGAAGAAAACCACTGTCTGAGGCGATCACGCCACTGTTCGATTTGGGGATAGATGCCCAAATGATCAAAAGCTTCAATAGACTCTTCCATGGACATTGGAGGAGGAAGGTCACCCTCTCCTTTCTTTGGAGGAGTGGTAAATTTCTGGGAACCAGGAGACATCCTCACAGGCCTCAGTGGTGTACTCCTTGTAGTTCCAGATGTATTAGCCGAACTTGCAACAGTATTAGGACTTGCTATTCCAAATCCACCGATGGTTGGAGGAGGGGTGGCTAGTTTTCCAGCTGATTCAGTGATTTTCTCATCTACTTCCGCAAGAAACTGTTCAAGTTGCTCTTCTGTTGTTATTTCTTTGGTAGAGGAGGCTCGCTTATTGGACCAAGGGGTTTTTACCACAGGCTCCTGTCCTGGTGAAGTTTGAAGAGAAGATAATGCAGAAGTGGATGCCGGAACAAGATATGTTGAAGAAGGGGCACCCTGGTATCTGGATGGACTAGCAAAAGAATTCATCTTATTCCCACCACTGGTGTTTGATTTATTAGAGCTGACTCGAGACTTACGATCTGAGCCATTAATTGGTGGATGTAGTGGAACAAGAACATCTGAAGGAGATGATGTCACCAAGTGTTTGGACTTGGGAGGTTTCTTAGAAGACTCCAGTACAACTTGCTCAACCTTTGGTTTTATTCCCAAAAGCCCCAACTGGCGCTTCGTTAGACGAGGTGGATCCTTAGTTTCTTTAGAAGGAGATAAAACTGGCACACTACAAGTGCTCCTGGCCCTATGCAGAGAGATGACTTTGAATAGGGCAAAAATTGTACCAATGAAAACTACACCCGATGCAGTCTGTATTGCCTTGGCAAATATATCTGAAGCACAGATGCCATTCAAATGTGACAATAAGAAATAGAGCAGTTAATTCAAGAATCAAAGGAATTCCATCAGCATATGATAACTTACAAGCAACTTCATCAGATAAATTTCCAAACTTCAATTTATCAGCCAACCCAGTTCCCCTTCATCAATTTGAGAGAAGGATTATGTTAGTGAAATTAAAACACATTCAAACCAAAAAAAAGTTAATCCAAGATTTTTTTTCTTTTCTTCTAGGGTAGCATTAAGTTAGTTTTTCCATTTGAAAACTGATAAAAACAGAAACATCAAACTGTTCACTTTACACTTGTACCAATTAACCAACTCAATCATATTTCTCCTTATCTGTTATTAACGTGATGCATATTTCCTGCAACAGTCAACAATCAAGGGACTATCTTTCCATTAATCACCTCTTACAACCTGAACTTTCTTTTCAGTAATTAGTAGGGGAAAGGAGGATTTAGTTGCAGCTACCAATTAGCCTATGCCTTCGTAATCTGCTAATACAACAGCATGACCAAACTTTAACCTAAATTTGCCCCTAACAGAAACAATTAAAGCCAAAAAACCTCCTAAAATTAAAGTCATTCTTTTAAAAAAAAACCTCTCGGGAAGCATCAATAAAAGTTCAATGAAAAAGGATCTATTCATGCATTTTATATGAAACAAAATGCAAAGCATTACCTAACAAAAACCCAAGAGTAAAAAACACGGTTAAATGTCATGAATGGCACCCTAAAATGTTCAAATATCTGAACTTAAAAAATCCATAATGGTACATGAAAATTTGTTTGTCCGAAACATAATCGTAGTTGTCGAACTTGGCAACTTTAGGGGTGAGTTCCACATTTACATTATATATTTTTAAAGTTTAGGTATTGAACATTTAGGGAAATTGATGACATTAACCCAAAAAGGCCTTTGTTTAAAACCTGCTAAAATCCTAAAATAACAACCCATATTTATGAAAAATGTGTATGTATTCAGCTTATAAAAGGCTCGAAATATCTAATGTGACAAAAAAATGCCCAACAAAAAACCCAAAAAAAAAAAATGAATGAACCTGGAAGCGATGGAGAGGAGAGCAAAAGCAGAAGCAGAGGAGAGAGAAAGTATGCAAAGAAGAGTTGATTTGGAGGGCTGTAGACTTGTAGCCGTTAAAGCAGCGGATAGGGTTGGGTTCTGGTACACTGAGAACTTCGAGGGCTTCGATGGAGGCGAGGCCCTGTCTTGGCTGGGGGCTGCTTCCATGGTTTTAACCGGTTTCTGGAAAAATGGGGGTTTTGATAGAGATCCGATACTGGCTTATGGAATGGCAATGATTTGTGGTTTAATTGTGAGGAGCTGTCGTTGTTGCCATAGTAGCCGTTCGATAAAAGCTTTCGAGTTTCAAAACTTCAAACATTTTCATATATGGCACTCCCTCTCCCCACTTTGGCAGCTGCTACTTCGGCGAACTTAAGAACCCTGGCATTTAGAAAATTAGGGTAAATTGTAAAGAAGGGCAATGGGGTGAAAATATTGAATAATTAATGTAATGAAACTTTGAAACTAGACTCCAGTGTAATTTGCATGTCCCATTGCTTTCTCACTTTACTAGTTTTACTTATTCGGACAGCGTGCTAATGGCAAGTAATATCATTCTCAGTATTATTATGATAATTTAATAATTCAAGTGATTTTATTATTTAGATAATTTTATCTGGTGATTTTAAATCACTTTATCTGATTAAGAATTATTAATTTTTAATAATTAAAAATTAAAAATTATTTTATTTAAAAGTATTAAAGTAACTATACATATTATAATAATTATACAAGTTAATAATTTTAATATTATTTAAAGATAATAATTTATATGTAAAATATTAGTAATATTTTATTTATTTCATAATATATAAATAAATTATTAAATTAAATATATATTTATTGATAGTAAACTAGTTTTTATAGTATAAATTATGTACAAAATATTTAAATTAAAAAATAAAACTAATATATTAAAGTCAACATTTTATATTATAAATAAATTTTAAAAATTAAAAAATTCATACATAATATTTTTGAACTTGTTACAACAAATATTAGTTTGAAAATATAAAAATTATAATATAAAATAATAAAAATTAATTTTAATAAGAAGTAAGTTTTTTAATTAACATATTAAAAAGATAATATTGACTATTAATAATTTTACATATTATTTAATCTCGATGATAAAAATTTTTAATCATTTTAGATGCAAATTAAATTACCCTCTAATACAATAATCTAATTACTATTAATGATTTAATATCACCATCATATAGAATTACTAAATAATTATCAAACACGATAATCTGATTACCATGCATAGATTACCATAATTTTTGTAGATATCACCTTATACTAAACATTACCTTAATGTTTTTGCAAGTAAGAAAAATAATAAATTTTAAATATGATATAAAATTTATAAACATATAAAAATAATATAATTTTTAATTTTAATAAAATTTATATATTTATATATTTTATATACTTATATAAATTATATAATACAAATATTATTTCATTAATAAGTAAATATGAATATTCATAAATTTTAAAATAAATATAAAAAAAACTTAATTTTTTTATAGTTATTTATTTATGATTTATTATTATTGTATAATTCAGTGATAATATTTAAAATTTATTAATAAATAATGTATCGAATATAAATTTTTTTAAAAACACCAACATAATCATAATGGATAGACAAATTTTAGTGTATATTAGTTTTAAAAAATATATATAATTATCTTAAAATGCAAGAGAAAAAAAATAACTACAAGTACATATTATTTAAGAGTGATAACAATTCGTATTAAATCGAATTCAATTCAATTTTTTTAAATAATATATAATATTATAAAATTTTAAATTTTAATATGAATTAGAATTTTCTCTTAAAATCTATTTGATCCAAACTAAATTTTACATTTTGGTTCAATTTGGTTTATCAATTTTTAAATTTTTTTTATACATTATTTTAATAGAAATTTTAATATATTTAAATAAATGTATATATAAAATAATTAGTTTATTTTATAAAAATTTAAAAATATATAAATCTAATAAAAAATATAATTTGATTGTTTACATCTCAATTTGAATTTATTATATATATTTAATATCAAAATTTGATTTGAATTGAATAAAAAATATATAATATGTACTAAAAACTACAAATTTTTAATTTTTTCAATTTTTTTCTCACCTCTAATATTTTTTGAATTAAAAAATAAAAATATATTTTAATAAGTGAATTCTCACTTTACTTTCAAAGAAAAAAAAAACTATTATAACCTTATTAATATACATACAACAATTACATAAAAATATAAAAAAATCGTAAAGATAGATAATGATAGAATAAAAAATTATTAACACCATTTGCGTGCGTTGATACGTCTCATGAAATGTGGACGAAATAGACAAAAGCAAACCAAATCTGTCGTGATGTGTCCTCTGTCTGTCCTCTTCTAAATGTAACGTGGAAATTACAAACTATTATCTTTGCGTTTGCAGCCTAATCTAATCTAAAAGGAAAAGGATAAACCTCGGCTTGGTGGCAATTCAATCCTTGACTATAGGATGACAAAACTATTCGAATTGATCAGATTTTGATCCAATTTAATCTTATACAGCAATAATAAATTAAATTTTATATCTTATAATTATATGAAAGATTAAAAAAAACTCATGTTAAGTTACAATTTTAAATTTTTTTGTATTTTTTACTTTTATAAAAATGATTTTTTAATTTATTTTTAATTATTATATTATTTTTAATTATCATATTATTTTTTATTATTTATATTTACATCTTTCATAAGCTGTCTCTAAAAGTCATAATTTTTTCTAAATTTAACAATTCATTTTTCTTAATTAATGTACAAATAAATTTATATTTTATACATTTAAATCATTTCAAATGATCATTTTTTTAATTTAAATTACTTTTAAATTTTTAAAATTTATTTATTTATTTTTTATAATCTTATCACACATACATTTAAATATTCTCATTTTAACTATACTTATTTTTTTCTCATATTATTTCTTAACGATTCAATATTCAATTTTATATAAAAACACAAGTTTTATAGTTATTTTATATAATTTTATTTTTAATTTTAATATATTAATTTAATAAAAGTAATATATATAATTAAAATAAATTTATATTAAAATAATATTTTATAAATATTATAATTAAATTAAATTATTAATTAATTTTATAAAATTATACAAATTAAATGAATTTGAATATAAAAAATAATATTTTAATATCCAATAAAAAGTCAGATTTTAATTTTATGAAATTAAATCAAAATCAGACGAAAAAAATCGGTCTGGACCCAACCCGTTATCCTTCTGCTTAATCAAAACATATGTACTAATCATGAATGCACGTGCCCACGCCTGCCAACATCTCCCACCAATCATAATCCACCACGCGTCCCAGTAAACGGATTAAGCAAACTTGCCAGATTTTGTCCCATTCCAAACACAATTTTTTCTTCCTCATTTTCTTTTCTTTCTTCCTCTATTTAAAATTCGAATTCTAAATACTAAGAGAACAGGACACCAAAACGACTAAAAAAAAAAATGCAGAGGCTATTTGCATCATCAAGTTCTTTTTCCGCTAGAATTTTGAGAAGAGAAAGACAACGCGCTTTTTTCTCTTCAACTTCCTTACTCTTCGATGACACTCAATTACAGGTACTCTCTTCGTTTCTTTTTTTTTTTTTTTTTATTTGAAAAAATGCGATTTTAACGTTTTACACATTCTTGGATTACATTAGAGTTTTCCCATTTCTTTAATCTTTTTATTTTTTATTTTTGTTAATGGTGACAGTTTAAAGAAAGTGTTAGGCAATTTGCACAAGAAAATATTGCTCCTCATGCTTCGAAAATTGACCACTCTAATTCTTTCCCCAAGGTGTGAATCGAATTCCACAATTTTTTTAAAAATTTTATTACTTTTTATTCCATTTCTTTGAATATGGGTTTGCTTCTTTATTCATTCTCCAGGAGGTTAATTTATGGAAACTCATGGGAGATTTTAATCTCCATGGAATAACTGCACCAGGTAAAACATTATCATATTAGTATCCAATAAACCTCCTTTTCGTAACTGGGAAATTCAAATGGATTCAATAAAATTTTAGCCTGAAACTTCCTATTTGTTTTGTAAGTACTTCATTAATGAAGAAAAACACTTTGGTTCTTTGGTTCTCTTGTAGAGGAATATGGAGGACTTGGTCTTGGTTACTTGTTTCACTGCATAGCATTGGAAGAAATAAGCCGTGCTTCGGGGTCTGTTGGTCTTTCCTATGGTGCACATTCTAATCTGTGTATCAATCAGTTGGTAAACCGAATTACAAAACTCTTATGTTGTTCTAATCACAGCCTGCTATCTTCTAACAGGCTCTTAAGCTGATTTTTTTTATGGTTTTGTAGGCAAGGAACGGAAGCCCTGCCCAGAAAGAGAAGTACTTACCCAAGGTTCTATTTTAAATCAATGTTCCATTTTCAGTAATTTCCAATAAATTATCTTATTGCATATATGTTTTATTGAAGGACCCTAGTCTTTTTGTATGTGTTTTAGACACTAATGTTTATCGATCATTGTGCTATTTTATACAGACTATTTTCTGTCAAATATTGCTATAATCAGCATTTCATGGGATATTCATATTGTTTTGTGGACAAGCTGAAGTTGCCTATAATTAGGATCAGTTACTAATGTATTACTATTTGCTAGCTGTTAGTTTCTTTTTTCCCCCCTTAATAACATTCTTACAATGAATAGAATGGTACGGTATCTCAGTCCTTTTCTCTCACACTTCCCTCCAATATTATGTGTGCCAAGGTCATCTTCTCTCTCTGATTTTGATGAGAATGGAGTTTTAAGTCAGGTCCACTGCCCACTTCTATTATTCTTTCTTTTGGATTCTATCTCCCTTATGACATACCCACTATCTTCTTTTTGTAGCTTATCAGTGGAGAGCATGTAGGAGCTCTCGCTATGAGTGAACCCAATGGTAACTTAGAAGAACCTTTTCTTTGCTTAAGTCTTACATTTATGGCTGCACGGCTTTTAATCATTTGATCTGGCTAATCTTTTTGCAATTTCTGCAGCTGGCTCTGATGTTGTTAGCATGAAATGCAAAGCTGATCGGGTTGATGGGGGTTATGTTCTCAATGGGAACAAGATGTGGTGCACTAATGGTCCAGTTGCTCAAACATTGGTATTTCTATTAAGAATATATTTACATTGTTAGACATGGCTATGGTTAATTTTTGTATGCTGGTGTTACTCGACTAATTTTGCTAAATAAATGCTTCAAGTCTTCGAGAATTGTGTATACATCCGTTTTAGCCCTCATTAAGCTAAAGTAAAAGATTTGATATTGTACTCTTTAGATACTACAACAGAGACTGCCAAAGTCAACTTTGTACTAGAAACAATTCTGTTGATGAATGCTTTGTCTGTGTTCTTGTTTCTGCCAAGCCCCAACTTTACCATTGAGCTAAGCTAAGAGTATCTGAATACACTCACATTTTCTTATTTTTGTTTCTTTAAAACTTTTAT